CAGCGCGACGCGCATTGGCGCCTACAAACCTAAGTGGATACTTCAAGCATTGTGCAATGCGTGAAGTATCTACTTAGGTTTGTAGGCGCCAGTGAGTCTCTCGCGCTGGCAGTACGCGCGCCGCTCCGCTCTGTTCGGCTTTAATATTTATACTCGCATAGTCAGCGTTTTTTAATCTATGATTTTGAAATGTTAACACACTCTGCATTGATTATTCTCATTTAAATTGATGGGAAAAAAAATATGTTTCAATTTATCAAAGGAGAATAAATGTTGGTGGTTCAGTGTAATGATTTCCAAAGCACTTTAATTTTTTCTTTTACGCTTTGTGCTTTTATTGTGCTGCAGAAGGTGTACGCGCAACGAAACGCTCAAAATTTAACGTATTTGACTCTAAAAGATCGATGTTCAAATGGGTTAAAACTAAAGATTGCAGGCTTCTTGGTTTTTTCCCTCTTTCACTCATTTTTGCAGTTTCTGTCGGCACAACTGCGGCTCATTGAGATTAATGTCGCTTGGAAAAGGTTTTACAAATATTTTTCACGTTTTAAAAATATAAATGTTTTCAAACTGAAGTAATAATTTCGTAGAGAAAAAAAGAAAAAAAGAAAAAAAAGGACCGATACATATATAGGGTATATTGTACATCAAATATTTTAAGGATAGAAATAAAACCAAATAGATATATAATATTCACCAATGACAATTTTGAAAAATGATTCAAAAGGAGAAAGTAATAACATTTCATTTAGAAAATGAGCAACCATAACAACATCTCCTTCCCTCTCAATTTCTCATTTCCATATTGTCAATATAGTTTTACATACCAACTAAAATATAACGCTTGGACCAAGTCACTGTTGCTTATTTTACGTGTGGGCGTAAACTACTGGACAAACAAGGTGCGCGGACAAAAAATCGTTGATAATATGTCCTTAAACCATTTTTCTTTGGGATCATTTTTTGATGAACAATCAGATTCCGATCTTTCATGCAACCTGAGGGAACTCCCTGTCCTTCTAAATTTACCAACATGTAGGAATGTCCAATTCCACGCAGATGATCATAGCAGTGTGAAAAATTATTTATTTAAAAAATAAGATAAAAATGCATCGCCGCACTAAGAACAAAGAAAGTTATTTTTTATCCTCCTTTATTCTTTATCCTCACAATAGTGTTACAACATGTAAATTCGGAATTTCTCCCCCTCATCAAGCACCATTCACGCAAGTATAACCTAAATTACTCGTTGGTAGGTAACCCCTCTTTTATCAATCGTTTGTAATTTTTGCTGATACATTCACCAACAACACCAAGAGGTTTCTAAATTCGCACGGATTTTTGGATGACATCACACAGGGTTAGACCATCTCCACCAAACTCATTATGCAAGTGTCACCCAAAGCAGGGTCGGACTGGCTCGCATATGAGGGCGTAGACCCTTGGCTGGTTAAAGGGGCGTAATTCGACATTTCTGGTAGGGCATTCTCTACGTGGAGAGAGGTTCAGAAAATTTTGGCAAAGCAGCACAAGTTTACGCTATTTTCAGGTTCAAAGTTTATTAATCGGACAGAGTAAAAATTGAAAAATTGAACGCATCGAAGTAAACGGCAGACTTCTGAATTTAAAAAAAAAAAAAAACATGACTAATTAAAGTCACTAGACGCATTCAAGCACCATTATTTCCAAAAGGACCGAGTCAGTGCTGCGGTTCACACGAGATTTAAGACGTGGGTCTGCAAGTCTATTCTAAAAAAGAATCAGACAAGAACCTGAAAAAAGAAGAAAGAACGTGTATAACACAGCCGAAGGTAGGAAAGATATGTTCGGGCCTCTGTTTTAACTTTTATCCCGAATCTGAGCGACACCTCATTGGCAGCATATTGCGAGCATAGAGGACTCACGCTTCGCGTCATCGCGCCTTCAATTTTTCAGATGCAGCACGGACGTCCATCAAGTACAAATAGTTGTATCTCTGCGCTGTCGTAGACGCGCACCCTTTCCCCCGCTTTATTTCGATATTGTGTTCGTTTGCGTTTGTTTTATTCGTAGTGGAGGCTCAAAATAGTAGCGTAGAGCAGAGTAGAGTATTGCGAGTTCACGACTCACGCCATTGCGTCTTACATTTTTCATATGCAATGTGGACATCCATCTTGCGCGAATCGTCATATCGCGTTTACACTTTAGATGCCTCTTATTTTTGAATTTCGAGATAAATGAAGGTTATGTTTGCCTGAGATATGCTATGGTATGTCTAAATCAATAGTCATTTTGAAAAAGGAAGAAATACGTTTAAAGGTCTCTCAAGAGGTTTACAAAGGGTGCGTATGTCTAAAAATCGAACAGACCCTCGCTTCTAAGGAGGTTAAACAGAGCGAATGAAGGAGGGGGGGGAGTGATAAAGCGCCTGTATGTCAACAAAAAGGTGAAAATTTTACAGAAAATAGTGTTTCCTCTTCAGAAAGTAGTTCTTGGACCTCTGTTCACCACTATCATGCGTGAAAGCCCCTTTCTTTACTCCTAACTTTCTCTTCTTACGTTCATTTAAGAAATTTTCCGCATATATTCTCGGTCGTAATTTTTTTCTCTTCTTATTTTGCTATCTGTGAGAGAGGCGCGTTTTTGGCGCACCAAGGGGGCGTATCTGCCAATGGCAGATCCTTATGGCCAGTCCTAGCCTGACGCGAAGTCTAAACCCCTTACCTCCCTTAGGGATCGTTTAAGTATTACGTAGTGCTCTTTTCCCGATATTTTTTTACTCTCCTCCCCCTTGTAACGTACCCGTAACGCAGTCCTACACCCCCTCCCCCGTTTGAATTACGTGACGCTGGCCTGACCCCCTCCCCTCTCGCAATTTTCAAAAAAACGCTGAAAAGACATCTTGAAAAAAAATTGAGGTTTTTTTTGGGGGAGATATATCGCTGAAATACGACAGAAAGAGATCAACAAAGGTGTGAAATACATTATTAGATTTTTTTTTTTATTCATAATTTCACCGGAAATGTGCACTTGGACAATTATCAATTTTTTGCACGTTTTTTTCAAAATTAATTTTTACTCCTGCTCGGATTTGTTACGTAATGCTGGCTCAAGCGCCCCAAACAGCCCCATTGTGTTTAACGTTATGGAGATGTTGCTTGTGTGAGGAATTTTCGATTTGACTATTGATTCTTAAGTAAAAGTTCGCGAAAAACACGATGGTGCCACTGATTTTCACCAAAATCAACTCCCAAGCTCAAAAAAAGCTCTCAAGTTGAGGCCAAAATGGAGAGGATATCCCAATCTACCTGAGAGTCCACCTCTACATCAAGACAAACTCTCCATGCAAAGATAGGGAGCAAATACATTGACAGGGCTGCCACTTCATTTGGGGACTCTAAAACTGAAAACACGGCATCACTGCTAATGTATTTGCTCCCTATCTTTGCATGAAGAGTTTGTCTCGATGTAGAGGTGGACTCTTGAGGTAGGGTGGGATATCCCCTCCATTTTAGCCTCACTTTGAGAGGTTTTTTGAGCTTGTGAGTTGATTTCAGAGAAAACCAGTGGCACCATCGTGTTTCTCGCGAACTTTTACATAAAAATCAACAGTCAAATCGCAAATTCCTCACCAATGCAACATCTCCATTCATGCAAGGCTCATCTTCTATGAACGAGGCAACTATTGTTGCATATACGATATTTTACGGGCGTTTCTATCGGCTTCCTGATACGGCTTCCTCACGCTATTGTAGCCACAATGTAGAAATTTATGAAGAATCTATTCCTAATGGATAGAAAATTAGGAGTATCATAAACCAAATTTAAAATATCATTCAAATCACTGGGTGTATTTACGTATGGGAAGTGCAGAATATTCTTTGAATCCCTTAAGTTTTTTTTTTAAAATTCAACATTTTATCTTATTTACAGGTACCTATTGGATTTTACTCCACTTCAAATTATAAACTATGCAGAGATGTTAAACAACAATTCCACTATCGTCCATAAAACTTAAACATATAATAAGTAAAAAATGAACCGCACTCGGGAAAGTGTATTCTTTTAGCATATCGATGGCCAAAACGCGAAACCACGTTTTTACGTTTGGGGCGCTGCGGACCTTCTGCCTCACTTTAATTTTTCTTAGGAAAGCTAGACAAAGTAATTTCTTGAAAACTTCCTTGATTTATTTTCTCTGATGGCAGAATATTTTGAATGAATTCCAAGCTCTAAAGTTGGCTCGTTTCTCTTCAAAATACTGTAATAGGAGCAGAAATTTTTAAATATAGCAATGGAAATATGTGGTTTTGTGCGTTGGCGATCGATATAAATAAAACTACCGGTCATAATGTTTTCCATTCAAATTTTAAAACGAAAATAGATTTTTTAAAATGTTTTTTTTTATGTTTTGTTTTTATGACGTCCTTTAATTTGCTTTTAAAATCTTAACTCGACGAAAAAACAAAAAATAAGTATATAAATGAATAAAAACTAAATACAATGCATCATGCAAAAAAAACCCTTTTCAGCTACAGGAGCCCCAAACGTAGTTTTAGAAACTCTACCATGACAATTTGCCTAATTTTTATATTGAAACGTTTACTTCAACAGTACCCTCAATGAAACCGCTTGCATGCATGTTATACCGAGAAAAAGTTTGGTAGAATTTACCATTCCTTCACGCTGTATTTTACACAGCGTGAATTCAAAGTCGATTTTGCCAGGGGAATGGTTACCTGTACCAGTAAAAAGTAACGTTTACCTTTTTTCGATTAGAATTGATTCTGAATTGACGTTGTGTGAAGTACAGCGTGAAGAAATGGTAAATTCTACAAATCTTTTTTCTCGGTGTATCCTTCTGATTTTTTTTTACATTTTCCCTGAAACCATCACCTAGTAAAACTTTAAACAAACTGTAGAATTTCTTTAATAGCAGGGTGAAAAGGATACAAAACTATCCCTTTAAAATTTACCGGCTCATACAAAACTGATTGAGAGTACTTGTTTGATTTTTGCAGGCGCACTTTGCAATTGCCATGCCAGCAACATTCGTCCTTGAACCAACTTCTAAAGATGTGAAGGAGGAAGAAAAATCAGGACCAGCCTCGAAAGATGAGGTTTCCGGACAGTTCAAAATGCAAGACCTGAAAGAGGAGGACTCTGATTACATGGATGAAATGACTATCCCTGAAATTTCCGTGAGTGTCAGGGTGTCCATGCCAAGAAGACGAGGACACGCTTCAAGATTCAGTGGTAAACATGCCCCAATGTTTTACCTCGAGGAAGCACCCGAAGAGAAACCCGAGGCCACGGAGGACAAATCTTCAGAAAAAGAAAAAAATGACTCAAAGCAAAACAATGCAAAAGATGACATGAAAAACGAAAGCACCAAGGATGACCTCAAGAATGAGCGCGAGGCTGCAACTAACCCGCCAGATTCCACAGAACCTGAACTCAAACTAACCAAAAGAGACCTTAACTCGGTAGATTTAGATACGCACGTTTCGGAAGGAACGCACAAATCTGGAACTGCATCAGCACTATTTACAAGAAGTTTGAGCGCTGCTAACGATGAAACGCAAAAATCTGGAATCGCATCGGCCCTGGTTGGAAGAAGTCTCAGTGCCGCCAACGAAGGCACACAAACATCTGGAATCACATCGGCCCTGGTTGGAAGAAGTCTCAGTGCTGCCAACGAAGACACAAAAACATCTGGAATCGCATCAGCCCTGGTCGGAAGAAGTTTGAGCGCTGCCAACGAAGAAGCGCACACATATGGATCCGCATCAGCCCTGGTTGGAAGAAGTCTTAGTGCTGCCAACGAAGACAGACAAACATCTGGAATCGCATCGGCCCTGGTCGGAAGAAGTTTGAGCGCTGCCAACAAAGAAGCGCACACATATGGATCCGCATCAGCCCTGGTCGGAAGAAGTCTTAGTGCTGCCAACGAAGACACAAAAACATCTGGAATTGCATCGGCCCTGGTCAGAAAAAGTTTGAGCGCTGCCAACGAAGAAGCGCACACATATGGATCCGCATCAGCCCTGGTTGGAAGAAGTCTCAGTGCCGCCAACGAAGGCACACAAACATCTGGAATCGCATCGGCCCTGGTTGGAAGAAGTCTCAGTGCTGCCAACGAAGACACAAAAACATCTGGAATCGCATCAGCCCTGGTCGGAAGAAGTTTGAGCGCTGCCAACGAAGAAGCGCACACATATGGATCCGCATCAGCCCTGGTTGGAAGAAGTCTTAGTGCTGCCAACGAAGACCGACAAACATCTGGAATCGCATCGGCCCTGGTCGGAAGAAGTTTGAGCGCTGCCAACGAAGAACCGCACACATATGGATCCGCATCAGCCCTGGTCGGAAGAAGTCTCAGTGCTGCCAACGAAGACACAAAAACATCTGGAATTGCATCGGCCCTGGTCGGAAGAAGTTTGAGCGCTGCCAACGAAGAAGCGCACACATATGGATCCGCATCAGCCCTGGTTGGAAGAAGTCTTAGTGCTGCCAACGAAGACAGACAAACATCTGGAATCGCATCGGCCCTGGTCGGAAGAAGTTTGGGCGCTGCCAACGAAGAAGCGCACACTTATGGATCCGCATCAGCCCTGGTCGGAAGAAGTTTGAGCGCTGCCAACGAAGAAGCGCACACATATGGATCCGCATCAGCCTTGGTTGGAAGAAGTCTCAGTGCTGCCAACGAAGACACAAAAACATCTGGAATCGCATCAGCCCTGGTCGGAAGAAGTTTGAGCGCTGCCAACGAAGAAGCGCACACATATGGATCCGCATCAGCCCTGGTCGGAAGAAGTCTCAGTGCTGCCAACGAAGACACAAAAACATCTGGAATTGCATCAGCCCTGGTCGGAAGAAGTCTCAGTGCTGCCAACGAAGGCAGACAAACATCTGAAATCGCATCAGCCCTGGTTGGAAGAAGTTTGAGCGCTGCCGACGAAGAAGCGCACACATATGGATCCGCATCAGCCTTGGTTGGAAGAAGTCTCAGTGCTGCCAACGAAGGCACACAATCATCTGGAATTGCGTCGGCCGTAGTCTAAGAATATTGAAATATGACTGACAGTGATAGATACATTCCAGCAAGCAAAGATATTCTATCGGGCCAATATGCAGCAAGAAATCAATGAAAAATGGATAGGGATCCTCATGATTCCAGTGACCTTCTTGGGTAAATCAAAAATGTGCTCTCCTTTTTCTTTTAGAAGTTATTTTCGTAGAAAAGACCTGTGATAAGCAGTTACTGTATCAAAATCTTAGGTTAAATACATATTATGTGATAAGTGAATTAAGTCAAGCATCCCTCATAGTTTGTGGTTATTTTTATATTTAATTTGAGGAATGCAAATAAATTTAAAATCAAGTTTTAAAATACTTACTCCCAACTAGGTAGAGTACCCTTTTTGCAGTCTCACAAAATGTTTCCTAGTCGAATTTGCAATACAAACGTTTATACAACATTTGGTAGTTTCTAGTAATACGTGTCTCGATCTTTGGGAATATCTACTGAAAACTTAAAGGGGAATACGATAGGGACAACAAAAATACTCTCAAATCAACTACAAGAAGTATACATTTTCAATGATATGGCTTTAAAAAAGAAGTCACACTCCTTAAACTTTGTAAATAATCTTATTTGATTTTGACGTTTTAGTTACCAAAGAATGCCACTGATAAGGCCTGGGCCCCTCATCCTCCCTTTTACTTTTTATATTTTATAAGCAAATGCAGCACGCAGTCCGACAAAAAATTAAAAAAAAAAACATGATAAAATATAGGTGCTTCGTTTGAGTTGAGGAACTTTTTAAAGACGCATAAAGAATTAATTGGATTTAGAACATATATATTCTTTTTCGCAATGCATCGTTTTTTAATCTCATTTCTGGTGATCTTGGACTTTTCTGGGGTTTCTCCAGGCCTCCTACTATTCTTATGACGAGTTGATAGGCATGTAGATCTGGAATGCGTTCATAGTTACTTGAGAGAGAGTCCAAGATTTTTTTGAAAACGAAAATAAATGCTACATACCTTGTCTGCTCTCGCTTTTTTTCATTTTTGAAAAAGCTAGATCATCCATGGAAGTCAAGAAATAGTTAATGTGATTTCCTACATGGCTCATATCATACTTCCATCCATAATATGAAGTCACCAAAGTGACGTCTAACACATAACGTCAAAGGTCCGAAGCGCTTCGGGAAGTTGAACCAAGAAGTGGTCAGAAGGCGTAGCGTAGCCTCCCTTGTTAATGTTGCAAACTTTTGCTAGAGCAAAAATAAGAGTAGCTTCTATCAGTACATGTTTCAAAAATCACGATGAGCGTATTGGCAAAGTTTGAAATGCACTCCTAGCTTCACAATCTACGTAAGAAATTTGCGGATTTTTGAGTTTCCCGCTTCAAAAACGATACTAAAGCACAGGCGAAAATTTCGTTAGAGGGGTCGTTCCACCTAACCCTTTCGCAACAGTAATACTCAACATAGCCGACGCTTCTGCGCGCAAATCGCAATCGGAAGCACAAGGTCAACCAAAGCGGAACTTTATCAACGCGAATAAATCGTGAATGTAAACACGCTAGGTTCTTAACAAAATTGGTAAAATCTCGTCCAGACACATGTGCATTGGCGGATTGGTGTCGGCCATGTTGAATATTGTTCAGGATCCTAGTGGACAGGGGTTGGATAGAACGACACCTTTAACGAAACCACCTTTTACGATATACCTGTACCGTAGTATCGGATTGAAGCGGGAAGCTAAAAAAAAATGCAAATTTCTGACGCAGATTGTGAAGTTAGGAGTGCATTTCACACTTTGCCAATGCGCGTACAGTCATTTTTAAGAAATTTACTGATAGAAGCAGCTCCTATTTTTGCTCTAGCAAAAGTTTGCAACAGGCCCATTATGAATACTTCGTATTTGTGCATCCAAATTATTTCAAAATATGCAGCTTTTTCTCCTAATGATTGAAGTCCGTCCGTAAAGCAAATCAAACTATAAAGTACAAGTACAACCAGCAGAGAATTTCAAAAGCGCGCCGTGAGAATACATTTATATGATCACATTCAGTTTTATGCTTTTGTTCTGACTTTTCCGACGAAGCATATGCGCCTTAAATAATATCATCGTTAATTCAGTTCAAGGGTATCTACCTAAGTTTTATGTCTGGACACACATTTTGAAATAATCCGTTCAAAATTGAAAGAAAATCGGGGAACAGTGGAGGCGCGTTCAAACGACATCTCAAGCTTCAGGAGATCAATGCAGTTCGCGATAGCTGTGCGGAATCTTGGAGAAATGATTACATGTTTGGAATGCAACCCATCGAGCGGCTTGCCAGCCTGTCTGAACTTGAGATGGAAAATTTCGTGAAAAATAAAAATTTGAAATTTCACGTGAAATTTTATGAAATTTTCTTGTGAAATGTCTTTAATTTGAAATTTCAGGCTATTTTCAATGAAATTCCAGAAACTTCTTGAGATATCAGAAACTTTTTGGAATTTTAATACAATTTCACGGGGAATTTCAAAAGAATATCTATGTGGAATTTCTAAAGAAAAACTGTGTAATTTCAAAAGAAACACTATTAGAAATTTCAAGGGCGATCTTAGGTCTGAACGCGCCTTGAAAGTCCCATACGAAACCATAGTAACCGAATTTCTATGGCTTAACCCAAGTGTTGCTCATTGTGGCTAATGAAGTACAGAAGTCATCAATGATGGGACATATACAATTATACATACACACATACACGATTTATACGAATTATTTGGAAGCAGAATGCAAGCGTCTATTGCGCACAATGATAGTCAATCAGAACTCGAATATACAACGTATAAGGTTTCACGCCTTGCAGGTGTAAACAGAGGTTAGTTTTTTAAATCGAGATTTGCTAGAATCAAAATAATAAATACGTAATAGTTAAAGAATTGTATCGGCAAAGAAACATATCTGCAGATAGGTTTTTTTCAGTAACGACAGGGCCGGATTAAGGGGGTGGCCACATGGGCCGCGGCCCATGGCGGCAAATCTATAAGGGGCAGCAAATTTTGCAATTTTTTAAATGTAGGTATAAAAAAATTCGGATTTAGAAAAAAAATTACAAACGAGAAAAGGCGACAAAATCTCTTACTGAGAGTATAGTAATTTCTATTTTTTTCATCTTTCAGTGATACAAGAGACAGCACCTTTAATTAGTCGAGTTAAGAGAGAAACAAAACACGCAATTTGGCCTTGATCGCCGCGACTTACCTAGAGAGAAATGATGACGAGGACGCCGAGAAGCCCTCGGCGCGGCGATCGGCATGTAACACATATTAGCGCCTACAAGACTGCACGAAAACTTCACACATTGCATCAAACACAGTGCGGTCATTGCGGACAGCGTCAAACGGATAGTGCCTACAAGAATGCATGAATACCTCACGCATTGCGGCAAACGCAGTGCGATCAGCGTGAGACGCATAGCGCCTACAAGTCTGCGTGAATACTTCACGCATTGCGTCAAACACAGTGCGGTCTGCGAGGCGCGGCGGCGAAAGTTAATATCATTAATCCACATTTATGTTTGTTCCTCCATAATTGTTTTCGTTCATTTCTTATGAATGAAAGGCCTTGTCCACACAGAGAAAGGTTTACGAAAATTAACTTTCGCGCACAGTTCCGTGAACTTTTGCTAGTAGTGTTGACATGGCTTTCCCAAAAATGTGTTCAACACCAGTAGACGCGTCTTATGTACCCCTCCCCCGCTGGCACGTTCATTTGATGGTTTTCATTGATGTTTCAAAACGAATGAGAAGGCGGCGGCAAAATACTAGCGGCCCATGGGCGGTAAGTAGGTAAATCCGGCCCTGAGTAACGGCAATGGTTAAAAAATAATTACCAGCAATCTAAATGCTCTCCAGAATTATTTATCATGATGCAACAATTCAAATCGTCTCTTTTGGCTAAAGTATCACAAGCGCCACTTCACCGACTTGAGTCATGAATAGTCTCGAAATAACGAGATGAATTTACAGAGGGAAATCATCTCTAATTTAGAACAAAAATGTAGAAATACGAATATATATCGATTAAAGTTGATGTACTTTTGTATCATGACTCACATGAGCGCCTGGGGTTCTCCGAGTGCCCCGAACGCGGTATGACAAGAGCACATTTTCAAAGGAAAAGATGTTTTTTTAAAGACATTTCTTTGAAAGTTAGGACGGAAAGTTGTGCTGGATCCGTATTCTAAGTTTCAATTCAAAACTCCGTCTTATGCAGTCGCATAAAAACGAGACGTATGAGAAAGCTGTGAGTGCGCTGACGCAGTTTCAGGCAAAACAGTCGTGAGTGACATTATTCCTCCAGAGAGCCAATGAAAAAAGTCCTTTTAAGTAAAGTGCTGCCCTCTTCTGCCGATTTCTGACCTGAAAATGTGTTTTTCGTGAGTCCAAAATGCAATCACGAAAGCATGCAGAAGACAGCACTTACTGCTGTCTTGCCCATCACTAGCCTAACATGGAAATGAAAAATATCATTTTTACGCAATTGAAATGACATCAGTCGATCTTTAATCATCGAAACGATTTTTAGGAGTCTTTCGGATGATTAGTGGCAATTTGACATAGAACGGATGCTTATTTCAATAAAATTTTCTGGTCAGACGCTTCTGAGCCCGTTTTCCCAATACTCCATTTTAGCACTTACTGCTCTCTCAGCTATCATGGCGAAGAGGTTCAGAATTGTATCTTTGATTTACCACAAAATTTTCAACAAGGTAAGCTTGACGCCAGTGGACAAATTGATCAATGGGTTGGTTGCGCTCTGGTTACAGAATTGCTCTTTGCTAGTTTAAGTTTGTGGATCGACAAAAAATAATACGATCCATACATTCACCTTTTATACGAAGCAGTTTCTATATCTCCAATGTTAACAGAGATATCGCTAGATTGTATGGTTTTATCATTTTACCGAGTGGATTCTTATTACCTGGATATTTTGTTTTCGTCCGGTTTCTCTTGATTTCTGAGTTATGCTGTGTATATTTCGGAATTGTCTCCCCTCTTCAGGCCAAAATTTTGATAGTTGTCTAGCACTCTTTTTTGGCCTGAAGAAGGAAGAAAATTCCGAAATATACAAAGTCTAACTCAGAAATCAAGAAAAAGCGGACGAAAAAATAATATCCAGGTAATAAGAGATATCGCTAAAAAAAAAAAAAATAAAAAAAAAATAAAATAAATAATAAATAAATAAATTGGTATATGACATAATCTATTGCGTTAGTATACATACCGTAGTTTCCTCTACATTTCGTTGCTGTTCTGACATAAGCCCGTATCTCAATTTTCATGTGAGCCCTGTTCTCCGTATATCTATGTACTTGCCGTGGCTCTTGTGGGAATAAAGATACGCACTTACGTCAGAGGAGTGACAATTAATTTATCAATTAGTGATGCTCACATTTCATCTATTTGTGAATTGCATCCTCGCAGTACAACGTTCTTTTAAACCGCTAATTTCATAAATGTCATAACTTTGATTCTGTCTAAAATTTTTAGGTGTTTTATGTCATTCGGACCAACGCGAAACAGGGGCGTTTTCAATTTGCGGGAGAGTTTCGCAGTTCGAAATGCGTATTTCATGGTTTCTGAGTTACTCTTTCGTGTTTTCAATGTGCGCATCATGCTTTACGCGTCGTTTGCCTTCGGAGATATATATTCGCAAGTTAAAATTTGTTCATGGTTTAGCGACCTATTCGAGATTAATGTTGACACGAGGGCCATCGAAAGAGTAAGTTCACATTTTTTATCTGCCAAACAGAAAGAGGTACATTCAGCCTGTAAAAATTTATTCATCAGACATACTCATGGCTTTAAAAAAAGCTTAAGATTTTGAATATTGGTTGATAGATTTGCAAGGAGACTCAATTTTACTGAGACTAACTATACCTTCGTGACGTAGCAAGCCAACCTCCTAGTCCATTAGCGGATGGCACGGAAGTTTTTTTAATATTTTCTCGGAACCGAAGCACAGCTAAAAGCAAAAAATTAATGGATTTTGATCCTCATCTCAGCACTAATTTTGTATATGGTTTTCTCATGTTCCATCAATCGATAACTGAGGATATTAGACTTTTCGCAAGGATCTGCGTCAGCAGCGTGCGTGTTCACTTTCAAACGCGATGCCAAAGTGTATGTACTGAGAAATTCTTTCTCTCGCCCGGTATAATTGCAATCTCAGCCTTCAAAAAATTTCTGCAGTATATTCTTATAGGTATATTTTTACACTCTTTGAAAAATTTGACGCGATGGCTTACTATTGCATCAACATTGCGCGGTCGAAAGTGCACCAAGAGCTATGCATGTGCTACAGGCTCCGATCTTTGTGGAGAAAAAAATTAATTTTTTTACTGAACGGCTGATAAAAATTATCCAAAAAATAAACCAAATTGAAGCTGGGAATCTAAAAAAAATACAACTTCTCCCCCTCTAGAACCCACAGATTCCGAGAATTTTTTCTCGTTCAGGTAGCTAATCTGAAGGAAATGAGGAAAATGAAAAGTTAAAATTGAAAATAAGGCATATACAATGAAGCGAAGGAAACATGAGGTGGAAGTAGGAATGACATGCTCAGACGTTGTGCGTTACACTTATGATTTTATTTATAGCGTAAGATATATCCACACGATATTAATGAAAATTGTTGTTTAGTTATTTGTATAGAAATAAAGAAGGTTCTCACCTCTTTAAACCGTTCAAATAAGTCTGTAAACGCCGTGGAGACAGTCATCTCTGGTCTCCGTGGCGGACACAATGGCAAAATGCTAAACGTAACGTCTAGATGCAACTATTACTGCTCGATTGTTGTCTGTGTTGTCTACGCAATAAAGTGAAGGCGCACCGGCCATCGGTAAAATATTAGCAGCACAGCAGCGCCGCGCCATGTTGCCGTCCGCCAGTGCTATCCTTCTACTACTTTACAACGCAATGCGTGAGGTATTCCTGCAGTCTTGTAGGCGCTACGCGTTTCACGCCGACCCCTGCTGCACCTTGTATCTGTGCTGCACGCACTGTGTTTGACGAAATGCGTGGAGTATTCATGCAGTCTTGTAGGCGCTAATATGTGTTACATACCGACCGCCGCGCGAATGCACACCGCGCAAAATGGCGGTGTGGAATATGGCCGGGTCCCTGTGTATCGCAAACAATCGATTATGTATCGAAAAAGGGACCCGCCGGCGCCGCACAGGAATCTCGGAATTCGGGACCTGGAAAATGCTTAAAAGTGGCGCCAGCTCTCCCACTTGCATTACGACTCTATGTACTCTATGAATTTTCTCCATGGAGACAGTTGTGCGGATTTTTTGTTTCTCTATTCAGAGAAATTTGTTGCATGGCATGGAGCAAATTCCTTAGAAATTTCAATAAAATCTGCACAAACGTTCTCTTGTGAAAAATTAAAGTGCGCGGTCAAATTTGGCAATAGCTGACGTGGCTTGGTTCCTTTCTGCTTAACGCAGTACATTTATGACATAAACATCAGCAACAAAGTATTGCTGAACAATGGTTCCGTTTTCCATTATCTCACAGTAACATGAAAAGCGTGATGTTATGGAAGAAGGAAAAGAGACATCTGGCTTTCAGACTTTACAATACCGTGAGAGGATAAAGGCCGTATGAGCCCTCGCGCCTTGTCAAATTTCCATCGATAAAATACAAATTTTTGGATCTCCTGTAAACTTTTTTTCTCCCAATTTCGCAAAGAACTCAACTTGCAACTGAATCTCAAGCATTTAGAGAGTTCACAGAAAAAAAAATGCGTAGCTTTCTTCAAAAATGAATATTTTGAAGAAAGAGCGACGCAACATCTAAATGTTCATACGGCGTTATATTCTTTAGCACAACAGGGGACCTTTCGCATTTGTGAAAGCTCCGTGCTGCTGTGCTAAGGAAGAACGTCGTATGAACATTCAAGAGTTGCCACATTTCCTCTCAGAAAATAGTTATTTTTGAAGGAAGTTACGAATATTTTTCCTTGACATTTTCAGGAACTAAAGGTGAAATTGCGAACAAAATGATTTGAAAAAATGGAAGAAAAACATTCATGAGTTAACCGGGAAATTCGTGTTTTATCAAAGGAAATTTGGCAACGCATGAAGGCTCATACGGCGTTTTTCCTTAGCACGGCAGCCTGGACGTCAACTCATATGCGGTTGGATGGTGGGTAATCACGGCGAAAAAATTGCGCACAACAGCTTTTTGCGTTGAAAAGCGCGTGACTCAATTCTAAGGTTCGGCTGGAAGTGCGTCCATGATTTCGGGATCACGCAACGGAGATACAGGAAAAAGCATCATTCACGTCATTTTCACCACAGGAAAAGCAAACAAAAAAAGTCAGCAAATGACGATCTTCGCTAATTAAAGTTCCGATATTGAAAGGAGGAAAGAATTCCAAGCACGATACTGAAGCAATTGCTTTCTGTTCGTTTCCGGGCGGTCACAATTGAAATCAGATACACTCTTGGAATCCGATTGATTCGCATCGTTAACAATGGAGCAGCGATTGTTTTTGGTTTTTGCAGCGATTTTAATTCAGGTAATGTATCCTTTTTGGTTTTTTCTAAAGTTCTAAGCTGCCGATGAGCTGAAGAGTTGGACCGTAGAAGGGCGTATTATAAAATTGTTCTTTGTTTTGAAAATAAATTGTACAGCAACAGCTCCTTTTTGGAAACACACAGGCTGTTTGTATGTTGCTCCAATGCACCTGTGCGGAATCAAAGGGTAACATGTGCAAAACCACTCTCTAAAAGCTCAAAATGAGTTTTTCTCCGAACAAATATTTTTTGAAGACGCCCCTCTACGGGCAAACTCTTTAATTGCTTTATCTACAGATTCAAAATTTCAATTTGCATGCAATTTTGAAGATCTCTGATGCCGTGGTTGAAATAAGAACCCTAATCTGCTGTGCTAAGAAAGAACGTCGTATGAGCCTTCGGAAGTTGCAAAATTTTCTTTGATAAAGTATGAATTTTCAGGGAATTCTGTGGCCATTTTTCTTGGAATTTTTCAGAGAAGTTTATTCCCGACCAGATCTAAATCATCTGAACATTTCAGTGGAAAATATTCATAACTCTCCTAGAGGATAAACATGTTATCGGAGGAAATTTGGGAACTTTCGAATGTTCATTCTACGTTTTCCCTTGGCACGGCAGTAATAAGATGCGATGGCACACCGTTTAGATGTTTTCTTTCTTAATATCTCACGTGAAAAATGATTCAAACGGGGAAAATTTCAAACTTTTGCAGCCTCCCCCAAATTAAGTTGTTATTTTATTATAAGTTTTTGGCTGATAACATTAGTCGAATGGCAAAAACTGAAATCATGTTATTTGTGTTTCATTTGATACACTTAAATAAACATGTTGCTAATATCTCGCTTATAAATATATACAACTTCCATCTTCGTTCCGCATGGCTTTATAAGTTAAATTTTAGGGTGGAAACATGAAAAATGGTCGTTTAATTCATACCTTTGTAGGCGCCAATGCGCGATTCGCGCTGGCCGCCCGTCCGCCGTGCGGCGGCGCCTGAAGCAACTATTTCACAACAGAGGTGTTGCACAGTATTATACGAAATTGAACGTATTAAGAATGACAGGCATCCTTTTAAAATACAGATCTTTCCTCGCCAAATAAATTAAGATACTTATCGTACACTGGAAAAATCTAAGAGCCTTTAGCTGAGGCAAATGTAGATTTTAATCCGGTTCAGGTATAACAAGGTGGGAAAATCTTGAAAGATAATTGAGTCCTGTTACACCAAAGAGGTGTAGAGAGTTTTAGTGAATTTTGTCTCATGGAATTGACGCTCCCCCATTTTTACCAAAACTCTCAACTACATATTATTCTCCGTTGGACCAAACAGACAAAGCAAAAAAAGGAGCAAACCCTCATTCTTCCAAGACATTATACATTTTCATCCAAAAACATCGTGAGCAATTCTCGTTTGTATTTACACGTGGGCCAATTAACTTTGGGTCTCAACTGGCACGTGGACCAAAACTCCCGTGCCGGAAAAACGCGTGGACGTAAATTACTGGAAAAAACAGGTGCGCGGACAATAAATCGTTGAAGAAATGTCCTATAAACTTCTTCCCAGATTTTCTCTCGAGGAGCAGTGATTAGAAGATCAATGATGATCCATGCGAATGAAAAGAGGAGGTAAAATAAATAATTTAATGAATATATACAGATTGAAATAAACGCAAGTTTATATTCAAGCGTGTGTTCCGTCGATTCTTGATTCTTAAACAGGTACGCAAATTGGACCGAGTTTAAGGATACTGCCCCGAGTTTTCAAGCTCGAACTGGGGAAGAGAGATTTGAAGTTGTATTAAACCATCAGACTCAATTTTAAGAGCCAACTTTAACAACTATCTTAACGTAAAAATTATTTTTTTTCTTGACTTTGAATTTTCGTGTCTGGCCAAATTCAAAGCCACCCCCCCCCTAATTTATTCACTGCATCTGTGGTCAACATGGTTCAATTCAAAAGACGCATGAATCCATGAATTGAAAGTTTTGCAAATTATTTTTTCTCAATTGAGGGGCTTGGCAGAGAGGTCGCACGAGTCCAGTTTTTGAAAAAAAAAAAATATTTCAAGGAAAACTAGTCTTGATGCATATTCCGTGTAAAATTGGCTCCCTAATTCCAATTTTTAAGCATCATAACGTCACTTTGAGCTCTCTGTCTGAAATAGAATCCATGTAATTCGAAACTTCAGAAACGTATTTCTCGAAATAGCCAAGCCCCTTAATTTCAGTATGAATACAGTTCAGCCTAAAAGACTTTTATCTCGTGATGAAATGTCATTTTCCAATCATACAATGCTTGATCTGGCCATATGACTAATGAGATCAAACTAAAGCTTAACTGATAAGGACTTGTAAGCGTGAAACTCTTTTTTAATCCGCCAACAACAGGTTTAAAACACTAATTGCAAAAATGCGTATCTCATGATGGTCAATTCTTAGCGCAGCAAACGCGAATCTCGGCATTTCTGCCGTCTTTTTTAACAGTTCTAGAAATTATTCAAAATGTTTATGGAGTCTAGAAAAGCGTCTTACTCTTGCTATCCTCAAGAATTCTCACCCTTCTACTAACAAAGAGGAATGTAGACAGATTTTTTTTAGAATGTTGGAGTTTTTTTTTTTTTTTTTTTTTTTTTTTTTTTGCCAACGTGCGTTAAAAAATTCAATGCTAAAAAGTTTTTTTTTACTCTCCTGGCAAATCGTTTATATTCTGAGATATGCGCCTCTGCACTTTTACCATCAATATCTGTCATGACTAGGTGTGACTTGGTTCCTCCCTGTTATATTGTGCCCGAATACTTTCCAACTAATGCGGTGTCACTATTTTAAATCTGTAATGCATAGCAGAAACGCTCATTTGCAAAAAGACTGAGTGCTTTTTATTCACCGTCAAAGTGCATTTCAAAACGACGCAATAATTTGTGGCTCCAGAACTTTTTTCGTCGGTAGTGAATTGTGCAGATTTTTTCAGCTAAAATAGACTAGACAGATCGCTAACCTCGAGTTAGGTTTCAGAGTAGAATCAAATAAGTTTTGCTCTTGGAGCCATCGTTTTTTAAAAAAGTGACTTTAGTTATTTTAAAACTTCAGCATGTTTTCTGAAGTCCTCATACTCTTGGAAAGTCGATTTTAATAGTGGTCAATCTTCGTTTTCAATAGAAATTTTTTTTTGGCCTCTTTTATCACTGGAAGTTAAATTTTTTGTCCGTACCGTAGACCAACTAAACGGGCTTGTTTTTCTATCAATACGTGCGATAATAATACCGTTTTAAGTTTTTTTGCACTCATAGAGCTATATTCTTGTAGAAGAATAAAACAAAATATCCTTCAAAGTTTTTACTTTCAAAATTTAGCCCCCAAATTGCTCTAAAGTCCGATTTCTAGAATTTTGCGCCATCATTTTTCTCCTAAAAAGCCAGGAAATGTAAATAAACGCTTAATTTTAATTAATTTCCTTAGAACTAACTTAGAAGATGTGGTAGACAACTTTTTTAAAGAATTTCTACAGGTTTGCTCTTTTTAAAGTTACAAATTGTACAATTTTTTATTGGGCTACGGTACAGGACAATAACGTTACGGTACGGGCAAACGGGCTACGGTAAGGACGAAGAGGCATTCGTAAATATTACTGTATGCAAGGGCCGAATTATAAAGAACTGAAATTCATTGGGGAATGAACTGCTATGTTATAGCATAGCTTATAAGTGCCACTTTTATAAATAATTACAGGCAATAAAGGTAAAAAGAGTAAGTAAATCAGTTTTTCAAAAATAATGAACTGCTTTTATTTTAAAGTAAACGCATTAAATAATTAGGGACAAATCTTAGAAGCTGAGTTCTTAAAACAAGCTTGACAACGTTAGAACGTTTTAGGTGCACTTTTACAAAATAAGAAAGAAAACAAAAAGGTAAATTTATCGAAAATGTGGTCACAAATCACCTTAAATAAATATTTAAAGGACAATAAGAAAAAAATAAGTTGGATATTAACGAATAAATATTAAACGAATAAATTGCTATGAACTTCAGACGAAAAAGAGGACTCAAAGTTCTAAAAGAAAAAATTAAAAAAATAAAAAGATGGCGATCCTTATGCAATCATCGAAAAAAAAACCTCCTTCTTCTAAGTCGCGTCGTACTAAAAAAAAAATACGTCTCTCTTTTTTTTTAAATTCCAAATTTTGGTGATAGATGAAATAAAGTAAAGTGGGATGATCTATCAAACAGCGCACCGATTTTTGGATGACTTTCGCATTTTGTCCGTACTTACCGTAGATCCGGCCGCATCGCGCGTCAGCTACGGGCTACGGTACGGACGGCTACGGTGCGGACAAATCGTGTGATTATTGGCAACGGTGCTCGGGCATATTCACGCATGTGGTTGAAATTCTGGATTTGAGGTTAAGATATCAGAGTGTATCAAAAAATACCAAAATTCGAGAGTTTGAAGTGATTTATGCATTAAAAAGGTAGGTATACGGTAAGGACATCCTAGATGGTCGTTAAACCTAGAAACTCATAAAAAACGGTCAAAATTTACTGTTTCATCGCGGTTTTTTTTCATCTGCTCGACATCAGCGTGTGATAGTCACGATAACGCAAAAAAAGTAAACAAAGTTCATAAGTGCTGCACTCTAACGGACGAAATGATGCTGAAAAAAGGGGGCTACGGTACAGGACGCGAATTCCGCAGACAAGGCTGCTTGATGCAAAGACGGTCAATATTTTCACTTATTTGGATGAATATAACTGAAAATAATAAGTTAGGTACAAGTTGAGTGTGAATTTACAGCAGAAGTGGAAGTATTTAGATGCAAGATGATGGTTATGAAGCGTTAAAGTTGCGCATTTGAGTCGCAGACAGGCTACGGTACAGGACATTTCAGCTGTTTAGGGCCAAAATTCTGATATTAAATGGCAAAAACTGCCTAAAGCGATGTTGGGACCTGATTTAGCGTAAAATTTTGAACAAATTTAAAAAAAAAAGGTCAGATTTTTCCATTTTGAAGGGCTAAAAAGTCGGCAGACATGGTAGAGCAAAACTTATTTGATTCTACTCTTCAACGCAATATCTGCTGCGTCATAGATCTGTGATGGTACATGAATAGACCAAAAACCTCACTTTTCAAATCTGCCGTGCTAAGGAAAAACGCCGTATGAACCTTCGTCAGTTGCCAAATTTCCTTTGATCAAATACGAATTTTCATGAGAACTTGTGAATACATCCCGTTCAAATTTTCAGGGCCTTTACTTCAAAATTAGGTCGCTATATTCTGAAAATGTCATTAGAAAATTTCAATAAATCTCCTCAAAAATAAGCATTTAATCAGAGGAAATTTGACAACTCTCTAATGTTCCTACGACGTTTATTAGCACGACAGAAGTGTTATCGACGGCTCTTGCGTTTTGAAACAAGAGAGGCCATTACACTCTCGCGCTAAAAAAAGAGTAGGGGAAACCAGATCATGTTCCGGACTGATAGATTTAAGAATCGATTAAAATATTACAATGTTCGTCATATTTTTGCGCAAACCCTAACCAGGTTTTTTTTTCACCCGTCATGGATTAACCATGTAGGTGGGCCTTTGCGATAGCGAAGAGTGCTGCTTACGTAGGAGCTACATCAATGGCCGCATATACTGCCGTGCTGAGGAAAAACGCCGTATGAACATTCGAGAGTTACCACATTTCCTTTGATAAAGTGTGGGCATTTTCGAAAAAAGTTATGTATATTTTCCCTTGAAATTTTCAGGAGCTTTAGGTGAAACTGCGTACAAAATTATCTTAAAAATCGAAAGGAAAATATTCACAAATTTACCGGGAAATTTGTGTTTTATCAAAGGAAATTTGGCAACGCCTGAAGGTGCATACGGCGTTTTTCCTTAGCACGGTGAAAATAATGAAAATATAATTTCGCTGGCAAAATGTAGCAAACTTAGGGGTACGGTACTCCTCATCACAATGTCGGACCTATTGAGACATTATTCATCCCTCTTACAAATTACAGATTTCCGCCCTTGAGCTTTACATTTCCTAGTCGGCGAATCATTTCACTCCTCTACAAACATCTACGTACGAATATTCGGGGTTGATTTTTGACTTCGAATTAGAATAAAATATGTGTTTTCCCACAGCCCTCCTCAAACCGCCCCATAAATTTAAATGAGAATAATCAATGCAGAGTGTGCTAACATTTCAGAATCCTAAGTTAAAAAACGCTGACTATGCGAGTAGAAATATTAAAGCCGAACAGAGCGGAGCGGCGTGCTGCCAGCGCGAGAGGCTCACTGGCGCCTACAAACCTAAGTGGATACTTCACGCATTGCACAATGCTTGAAGTATCCACTTAGGTTTGTAGGCGCCAATGCGCGTTTCGCGTTGGCCGCCCGCCCGCCGCACAGCGGCGCCTGAAGCAACTATTTCACAACAGAAGTGTTATAGATAATTAAGTCCTGTTACACCAAAGAGGTGTAGAGAGTTTTAGTGAATTTTGTCTCATGGAATTGACGCTCCCCCATTTTTACCAAAACTCTCAAGTATATATTATTCTCCGTTGGACCAAACAGACAAAACAAAAAAACAAGCAAACCCTCATTCTTCCAAGACATTATATATTTTCATCCAAAAACGTTGTGAGCAATTGTCGTTTGTATTTACATGTGGGCCAATTAACTTTGGGTCTCAACTGGCACGTGGACCAAACTTCCCGTGCCGAAAAAATGCGTGGACGTAAATTACTGGGAAAAACAGGTGCGCGGACAAAAAATCGTTGATGAAATGTCCTATAACCCCAAATTTTGCCTCACTGTAAATTGTGTTAAGCTATACTCGGTGATTTTAATGATAGCCCAGCTTTGCTTGTTAAATCTAAATAATCGAGCAAATCAATTCTAAATATGTAATTCACCGTCAACATTTTTTGGGGAAGCAACGTTCCCTGTAGCATAGATGCAGAAATCAGCACTGCCCCACTACCGTGATAAGGAAAAACGTCGTATGAGCCCTTCAGGCACCGCCAAATTTCCTTTGTCAAACCACGAATTTTAGGGAATGTTTATGCATATTTCTTCTCTGATTTTTCGGAGGATTTAGTTCAAAATTTGATCTAAAAAGTCTGAACATGTCAAGGAAGAATACTCATAACTGTCTTCAAAAATACATATTTTCATATAGGAAATTTAGCAACATTCAAACGCTCATACGGCGTTCATACTTAGGACAGCAGGCTAAGGAGAAAACCCGTTTGAGGAAAATGACATAGTACATACGGTTTCAAAGGATACTAGGGGGTATGCCCCCTGACCGCTTCGTGGACCAACCCTTCGAAGCGCTTCGCGCCTTATATATTCTGCATTCCGCGTTACTCCTACGATTTCACAGTGGAAAGAAAACGCATTGGATCTAGAGTCCAGACTCTTGAAAACATTGACAAGAAAAACTACTCTCGATTCCATCGGATTTTTGCTTGAATCAAAACGAAATCCGCTTAAATTAAGAGGCTTGGTTCTTGATTTAAGCTAGATTCTGATTGAATCAAGAGTACTTTTTCTTGTCGATGTTTTTAAGAGTCTGACTCCAGGTACAGTGTGTTTTTTTCCAGTGTACATTATAGAGAATGATTTTGACATTGGATGATCACTCATACTGCCAAACTCCATTCTCGTCGCTTTTTTTGGTTTTGCAGGGTATTTTGGCGGCGCCAAATGGCTCTAGCCTTCCGTCGGACCCTTCATCGGTGACCCAGTCGAAGGAAGCAGAGCTGTCTGAGGAATTCGAACGTTTGAAGAATGACGCAGAGCAGTTCCGAGACCAAGTCCTCAAGTTTACGATGGCAGTTTCCTCTCAGCTGGACCCTAACTCCTCCCTCCGCGAGATCATCAACAAAGTCGCTGACACCGCCACCTCACAAACCATGACTTACATCAAACAGGTAATGTACGAAATCCTCAAGAACAAGATTAAGGTGCCTTTTCGAACTTTTAAAGTGAGGTATCATTGAAAACAAACTCCCCACTCGCAAAAAAAACAAACTCCAAAACTACGTATCCTGTTTGCGGTGTTTAAAAACTTTAGCTCCTATTCTACGTTTTATAGGAGAACAATTGGACGCATTTCTACCAAACAGACCTATGTGGAGGTGAGAAATATGGGGTGCACTCGTTAGTTCTCTTCGCGTAAGAGTGAATGAGAATAATAAAGCGCCAGTGACGTCAGCGGCAACGAACGATACGCTTTACGACGACGAGATTGTCGACGGTGCGTTTTAACTCATGAGCCTTGTCCGCAACGCTCTCTTGCCATGCCCGCGGCTGATATTTCCCGCATTCAGTTGGCACATAGGTCTGTTTGATAGAATGTAAAATCCCGCTTGTCCAATTCTTCAAAAGGAATCACTCCCACTTTTACATTGCTTCTTATGCAGCTCTCTAGAGCACACCCCATATTTCTCACTTGCACATAGGTCTGTTTGGTAGAAATACGTCCAATTAATGAGGGGTTTGGAGGACAAGGCGCATCAATGAATTTTTTGAAAAAATTGAGGTATTAATGATTTCAAGTGAAACTAGTCTGTGTGCATATTTCTGAAAAATTCGCTCCCGAATTTCAATTTTTAAACATCAATAAGTCAGTTTGAACTTTCTTTCTGCAACGAGGATCCATGTAATTTCAAAAATTTAAACTCGTATTTCTCGAAAGAGCAAAAACTGCTCTTATGCGCCTTGTCCTCCAAGTCCCTCAAATCAACATCATTGACATACAATAAAAAAGGCTAATTTAACCATCCCCGTGGTTAAATGACCTTTCCACTATTGTAAAAAGTACATTTAAGACATGTCGGACATATTTTTTTCTAACAATTTATTTGTTAGATCCGCCTATGTAAGCGTTCGATATTATTTTCTGCCTCGGCTCAGCAATAATCCAAGCTCTTTCGTTTCGAAGGTTGAGGATGGCGCGATGGCTTTCATGGACCGCGTAGGCCAAGTGACGAGCGACGCGGGAAACAAGGCCCTGGAGAGCACCGTAACCGCAGCTGAGAGAGCCATCGAGGACCTGCGTTCCCGAAGCGAGAGGATGTTCAACAACGGACTCGCCTACCTCCGCAGCATCCAGGAGAAGATCAACAAGGACCAGGATTTGGACTCCAACCTGCCCTTCCAGACCCAATCCTACCTTTCCTTCATCCAGAATGACGTCGAGAGGAAGTTGAACGCCAACCCTCAGCTCCCGATCGCGCACTCCCCACCCAGAGGCTGGATCGATACTGAGTCACAGGTAATTTGCCATGATAGCCAAGAGTGCAGTATCTACTGCCGTGCTAAGGAAGAACGCCGTATGAACCTTTAAACGTGACCAGATTACCTTCAATTAAAATCGGTTTTACTTGGACAATTTTGGATATTTTTCTTCCAATTTCTCAGACACTTTCTTTCGCAATTTGATCTAAAATATCTGAAAACTTCAAGGAAAAATACGAATAACTTTCCTCCAAAATAAATATTTTTTACGGGGGACTTTGGCAACTTCCGAATGTTCATACGGCGTTTTTCCTCAGCACGGCAGGGTAGCTGCCAAATTTACGAAATCGAGTTTCCTTCAAGACTCCTTAAATCTCCTTCAGAGAAAATAACGGAAATTGCTAAAACAGCAAAATTCGTCCTAATTTCATGAAAACGAGACATATGAGAGAGCCGCAAACGCGCAAAAAATGACGTAGTCGGACGAAAGAGCAGTAAGTGACATTATTCCTCCAGAGAGCCAACGAAAACGGTGCTTTCAAGTAAAATGCCGCTCTCTTCTGCCAATTTCTAACCTGAAAATGTATTTGTTGTGCTTTCAAAAAATCCTTTGGAATTGGTGGAATCTTTGATTCTACTTTACTGATTTTCTGGCCGATTTGCATATTTTAAAATAATGAATTGAGAAGTCATCGACCCTTGAATACGACGACTGTTGAAACAATGACACACTGACTGACACACAATGCATGTCGAGAGATACCATTAACCTTTGGTATTACTCTCATACTACTTAACGGGAAAACGTGAGATTGTTTGCAGGCGCAAGGATACAATTATTTGAACTCAAGGGATGGTCGGGCAGTATCACGACAAGTTGAAGGCGATTTGAAAATGTTTCGTTCTTTAACCGCGTCCTCTAGGATTTGTTATTTGTTTCTCGATTTAGTTTGTCTATCTCGAGCTACATTCAATTGGGTCAGGCAGTCAACCGTCTTAGATTTCGAAAGTCTCAAGATAACATTTTTGGCAGTTTCTGCCATTTTGGATTTTTGAATTTCAAAAAATTGAGTTGAAATTCAAGTTCCTCGTTAAAAAATACTCCCTGACACCATGACGGTGACAGTCAAGTTTCATACGTTAGTGCGCCTTCAATTACATTTGATACCGTGCAATACTTTCGTGGTGGAATAGTTGCATTGGCGCCTACAAACCTAACAGGGATACTGCATGCATTGCGCCATGAGTAAAGTATCCCTGTTAGGTTTGTAGGCGCCAATGCAACTATTCCACCACGAAAGTATTGCACAGTATCCAATGTAATTGAAGGCGCATTAACGTATGGAAATTGACTATTACCGTCAACCACTGTTTGCCAGTGGTAACTTCACGCCGAGTAAAACATTTTACAGGGTCCAAATTTTCAAAAAAGATACTCATGGTATAATCACCGTGTTTTAGCGCACTTTTTCGATGGGTCCTGAGTTTTTTTTAGGTCTAGAGAGATGATATTGAAATAAGTCGAAATTCACGATTTTGCTCAGAAAAATGGCAACGTCGCAGCGTGTCAAAATTATCGGAAGGGGAGCATTGGGAGCATCTTAGCTACTAATTTCACACTCTGATTACAATTTAGGCATCTGTAACGTTAATTTATCGAGAGGGAACAATCATCAAAAACAGTCAAAAATTCACTATTTTCATGCGTGAAAATGGCAACCGGCTGTCGGGTCAAAAGCGTGGAGGGGGTCCAAAACTTCACTAGAGTGTAGTTCATGAACTAATTTTGCCCTATGTTTAATTTGCAGCCCTCTCCGACTTTATTTTTTGGGAGCGAAAAATTACCGAAAAACAGTAAAAATTCGCTATTTTTGCGGGGATAAATGGCAACTGCGCGTTGGGTTAATTTTGTCCGATTGACCCCAAGTTTCATTTTCCGTGTTTTTGAACATGCTGTAACCGATTTAGGGGGTTACGGCTATAAAGTTTCCGAAATTCATTTTTTGTGGGCCACCCTATTACATACTCCCTATGTCTTCTTTGTCTATTGCTTTGTACATCAATTTTAGCAATCAGCCCGCAGGCTAATTGGACCGCCTTAAGCAGAAAGGAACGAAGCCACATTAGCTATTGTCAAAATGGGACAGTTAAAGTTTTTACGGGAGAACGTTTGTGCGAATTCCTTTAAAATTTTCAAGTAATCTGCTTTGTACTGTGAAGAAAATTCTCTGAAATTCGCACGAAAATCTGCACAACCGTTTTCGCGTAAAAAATTAAACTGCCCAGTTAAGTTTGGCAATAGCTGAAGTGACTTGGTTCCTTTCTGTTTAACGCAGTTCAATTGGACGTGTTCCTATCAAACAGAATTATGTGCAGGAAAGAAATATGGGGGTGTGTTCTAGAGAGCTGGATAAGAAGCAATATGGTCAGTGGGCGTGATTCATTTGGAGAATTGGAAAAGCGGAATTTTAAATTGAGCAAAGAGAACTATGTCCCAACTGAATGCGAGATTCATGAGCCACGAGCATGGCAAGAGAGCGTTGTGGACAGGGCTCATGAGTTAAAGCGCCCCGACGACGATCTCTCCGTCGTGCCCTGACTCTATCATTGCCGATGACGTCACTGGCACTTTTTTATTCTCATTCACTCTTACGGCCAGAGAACTAAGGAGCACACCCCATATTGTTCACCTGCACATAAATCTGTTTGATCGAAATACATCCAATTTATCGCTAATTAAACACTCTCTTCATCCCAACAGTCGAACGAAGACGAGAACCAGCACCTCCAACGCCGCGACCCAACTCCTCAGGGCTCCCAGAGCACCAACGACAACGGCGGTTTGACATCTGCGATCACCCAGCAGTACCAGGGTCTCCGTGACTCCGGGGTGAACGTGATCAAAGGCGTGGCCAGCCTGGGGACCGGAAGCATCATCGGGATCCTGGACGGGCTCTCGGCCATCCTCACGACGACGACGGAGGTGAGCCAGCAGGCCAAGAAGGTCCTCAGCGACATCAACCGCTCCGGCGCTCACGCCGTGTCCTCGGTCATCGGCACCGCCGGCTCCCTCGTCAGCACCACCCTCGATAGAACTGGCTCCGTCGTCGATTCCCTCAGGATGGCCGGTGGGAACGCGGATGGGAAGTCCACCGTCGAGGAGGTCAAGGACCAGGCCGGCAAGAAGAACTGATCTCCTAGGGGTATCCGGGACTGAGGAATTCTTTGCCGTACTATGGACGAACGCTGCACAGTGGATCGAGTCTATGAGAGAGGTCGGACAAAATTTGGAAACTTTAAACGCTTATACCGTCGTCTCCTGGACGAAAGAACGTAACTCCATTTCAATGTTGCCAAATTTCCCCTCGCAAATCGCCTATTAATCATGAGAATCTTGGGCATTTCTAACTGAAAATTTCCCCGATTTTTCTCTAGATTCCAAGCAAAAAATAGCAATATTTTGGATACAAATTGCTTACGTAAATTTTTGTAAAATAAATCAATTGTCTGAGTCAATTTGGCAACCTTGCAATGGAGTTACGTTCCTTCGTGCGGGAGACGACGATACATACATATAAAATCGTTTTTATAGCGCTCTCTGGCGCTCTGCGACACCAAGCCGCCAAAGTCCCCTACCCTCCCAAAGCCCGTCAGGGAGTTGGTACACCCTAATTTCTTCTGAGACCTTATAACTCAGTTAAATCAAAACCTTGAGATTTTAAAAATGGTTCCATTGGTCCCCTCGTGAAATCTTCTTCTCTTAAAATTTAAAATATGACGAAGTGATCATCAAAATGGCCAGTTTTAGTTTAAAATTAGATACCCGACCTCTCTGATTGACTCCATCCACTGTGCGCCGTATGAGCCCTCAGACGTCGCCAAATTTCCTACGACCAATCACGCATTTTCGGGGAAATTTGTAAATATTTTTCTCCCGCTCTTCCACAGAACTTTGTTCGAAATTTGATCTAAAGTATCTGAAAATTTCAAGGATGAATATTCATAACTTTCCTCAAAAATAAATTTTTTCTGAGAGGAAATTTAGCGACATTCGAATGCTCATAAGACGTTTTTTCATGGCACGGCAGTTTTTCGATATAAGAACACAGGATGTTTCCTTGTTAAAACAGTCCCATGGGATTCTGATGGATCCCCATGGGGGATTTTATAGAGACCCATCAGGACACATTTACCCTAGAGGGATCGAGTAAATGAGGAGATCAATAGGAACTCAGAGGCAGCTAAAGTGACCTTAGGGAACCCTCAGGGCTCTGAAGTGGCTCTCCCAGGCTCCCTCAGGATTCTAAGATGGTTCCTCCAGCCTCCTTTAGGGGCTTCATGCACTGTTAGATCTTGGAGTGAAATTCGGTGCCGGAGTCTATATAGCGCCCAAAGATTCCGTGATATGAATGCGAAGTAAAATTAGCACCATAAAAGCATATGATACCCCGCACAAAAAGTAGATTCCGCTGCGTAATAGTAAGTCATTCCGTAAGGAGAATAGAATTCACTCCGAAATTCATATCACTTGAGAGTTTGGGCACTACTTAGACTCCGGCACAGAATTTCACTCCAAAATTTTTAACTAGCACAAAAAAACCGAGATATAAGTTTATGTTGGAACACAAGCTTAATAGTAGGCAGTGGCGATTCTTGAAAGTTGGCAACTAGAGTTTTCTTCAATTTACATGTATTCTGTCGTGCTAAGGATAAACACAGTATGAAAATTCTAGAGTTGCCAAATTTTCTTGAATAAAATGATTATTATTGAGTAAATATACGAATATTTGTCCTTGAAATTATCAGGAACTTTAGTTGAAATTGCGAGCAAAATTATTCGAAAAATTAGATGAAAAATATTCATGAATTTTGCAGGAAGTTCGCGTTTTATCAAAGGAAATTTGGCATTGCGTGAAGGTTTATACGGCGTTCTTCCTTAGCACGGCAGTATGTAAAACAATCGATTAACACAATCGGCTAAAATCATATTTTGAATGGTTTTAAATGGAGAAAACATAGTGTTGCTCATTTGCAAAATCGTCACCAGTAGTAGGGCCCTTATTGCACTCGTATTTCAAAATTGTTTGTTTCAGCAAGTTTGCCGGTATGTCTCAACATCGGAAAATTTGTTCAATTCAAGAATCATGTTCACATTTAATTTCTGTTCCACTATTATTAGCTTCGTTATTGTTGGTTTTGAACAGTTACCATAAGGAGAAAAATACGGAGATGAATATGGGGCAGATGTATCATAAGTTTTCCTTGTTTTTTTTTTTTTTTCATAATGGGGGAATGGGGCAGTGGCAAAGAATTCTTGCAGGGTTGAAGAATATTTATTATTTAGTAAAATTTTGTGGAAACCCCGGAAAGTACATTAAGTGTTATAAGAATGAGGGGAAAAGAGCCCCCCTCTAAATCCCTTTAAGGGGAGAAATTACTAATCAAAATCCGACGGTCAAGTTGACGGTGCAAGGTGATGCCTAAAGATGAGTTCAACCAATCAGCAAACACCATTTTCCCAGCCTGGCATACGTCCTCAGCCGTCACCAAAAACATACTTCCATACGGGTCCCAAATTTGACATTTTCAAAATGGAGTTGCTTTGCCATTTTGGGCTCAAAAAAAACTTTGAAAAATCCTAGAAGCTTAGTTTACTTTGTTCTTTCAAAAATTGGATTGAAAAAATCAGAGCCACTGACCCAATGACCCATTCATCTGTATGAGCTAAGTTCTTAGCAGGTTTATTATACGTTTTTTTTTAACGTATGACATAGAAGAAAAAAAGTTTGAATTTCACGTACTGTAAGTTAATAAAATTTTACTCGTGTATTAAATCGGTGTATTTTAGCAAGTTTATCCACTCCTTGTAATTCTAATAATATTCGTTCGGTTTGTAAATCAAGCTCAGTAGTTCAATTTGAACGAATTCATCATATTCAAACACTTGCACATTTTTATTCTTATTTTCGTAGTGGTGGGTTAGTTTTGTAGGTATCATTAATTTAGCAACATGCAGCTATTCCAATTTAAAAAGTATATTATTTTAGCAAATAAGGATAATTAAGATAAATAACGTTCTGAAATTGGGGTAGTCACTATCCTTCCTTTTCCGCGTGATTTTTATCATTTATGAAAAATCAAGATTTGGAAGGGGAATAAACACAGTGACTACCTCCTTTCCTTCATTTTATGTGCAGCTTGAATAAGTTTCCTTGCAGTTCTTCAATAAACTTTGAATTAATTAAAATATTGTAGTTTGTATTTCACGTGTCATTATTTTCTCCCTCTAATGGTGCCTGGATCGCACGACAAATGTCAAATTCCCAGGCAGCTACAACAATTGAGACACCAATTGAGGGGCTTGGAGGACAAGTCGCATACGTGTAGTTTTTGAAAAATTAAGATATCGATGGTTTCAAGTAAAACTAGTCTCAATGTATACTCTGTGAAAAATTCGCTCCCAAATTCCAATTTTTAAGCAAAGTCGGTTTGAACTCTCTTTCTGCCATCAGGATCCATGTATTTTCGAAACTTTAAACTCGTAATTCTCGAAATAGCAAAATATGCACTTATGCGCTTTGTCCTCCAAGCCCTTTAACAGACAAATTTTACACTTTTTAACGGAACAAGTCAGAGATTCTACGAGCCGTCAGATGTTGACTGTTTATCCGGCCGTTGACAAGAGAGGTGGATTTTTAATCCATTTGCTTGCGACTTTACTTCTTCTCCTTGTTCTCAATGAGCTTGCGGACTGTTTCTCTTCCCATTTTTAAAACAACAACAATAACAAAAACAATTTTAAAAAAAATACTTGAGAAAAGGTGATTCAACGATAAAATTTACTCTACAGGTTATCGGTTCAGGTAGAGGCCATTAATTTTTCGTATTCGACGTGTAAGTAGGTTGGTATCCTCGACAATTGAAGGGTTTTTTACGAGATTCCTAAAGCATCCAAAATATGCCAAATGTACGTGTAAATAAACCTCCTTTATTGTTGGAATAGAATGTCGACGATCGACGGTAAAACTATCAGACCACATATCTCGGTTTGCAACTTTGTAGACTTCCTGCCATACTTCACATTTTTAATGAAAAACGCAACTCACGCCAGTTCTTGAAAACGTCCATATCTGTGCGAAGATAACCCCTTGACAATTTTAAGACATAATGCTGCTTTGTTCTCATTCAAAAAAATAAAATGGGAGCGAAGGTTTTTAAATACCGCTAACGAGATACAAGGTCTAGTAGTTTCACCGTCGATATGAATTTTGGATTAGATATTGAGAGCTCGGCATATGATTTTTCGCCAAACAGAGGATTTGATCTTCATCCGAGCCCCTTCACACCAATGTCCAGGATCTGTTTTTGCCTAATCGTCAAAATGAAGGCTAAATGCCCCCTCGTGAGGAATGCAACACAGAGAGAATCGAAGAGAGTGATGAGCAATGCTATTCGCCTTCATTTGAAGTATCAGGCAAATTCACTTTCAAATCATCGCAGTTTCAGATTTTCTTCGTTCCCTCATGATATTGGGAGATTCTCAATCGAATCTCTCAGTATAGTTAATCGTGAAATTCTTAACAGAATGAAAGAAAGCTGATCCTTGCAGTTTTAAGGACTCAAAGGCGACTTTTTCAAAATTTATTTTAATGCCTTGGACCATTTTTTGTGGAGGGGTAGTAAGGGCTTGATGAGAGTCACTTTCAGAGATTTCCAATCGTGTCGTGGGGCAATAAATACTGAAAAAAAAATTTAACGCTGACTTTGGCTGCCTAAGCTATTGAGGACATGGTGAATGATATAAAATCGAGCTGAAAGCCGAATACATGGCATTTGGCTTTTAGCTCGATTTTATATCATACACTATGTCTACTGAAAAAAATTAGTTTAAAACGTTATACATGGGTCATAGGTCATACATCATCGTTTTCATCAAGAAAGATCGTAACTACATTTTAATGTTGCCAAATTTACTATCAGATATTGCTCCTTTACCAGTTGAATCTTGGACATTCTTCACTGAAAAATGCACGGATTTTTCCTCTGATATCATGCAAAAAACCGAAAAATGTTCGACGAAAATTAACAAGTTATTTCTTGTAGACAAATTAATCGTTTGAGTCAAATTAATCGTTTGAGTCAAATTGGCAATCTTGAAATGGAGTTACGTTTCTTTGTCCAGGAAACGACGATATGGACATATTTATGCTAAAAGGAACTATGTGCATAGGGTTTACGTGCAACATAGTTCCTTTTAGCATAAATGCGTCCGTTATGTGATCCAAACTTGAGGAAAATGAAATATTTAATTTAGATAGCTAATATATTTTAAAAGCCGAGAAAAATGTGGTCTATAAAGATCATTACTCTTCAATGTAGCCATTTTTCCATACAAAGTTTTTAAACTACGCAGACAGTCTCTGTTGAATGGTACACATTATGATTTCACCTATTAAATCAATATTATTGATACAATACTATTGAATACAATTGAATCAATATTATAAATACAACAATATATATAATATTCAGTTTTTATTTGCTCGAGTAAGATGTTCCTTGAGTGGAAAATCACGATAAAATTTTGCCCAAGTCGTCCTTCCAAGTCGCATGTTGGAGCCGAAACGAGGAATTAAATCTCTCTGCTGAAAATCAGTGGCGAGGCGTGAATGATCGATTATCGATATTTCCTCATTTGATGCTATGGTAAAGAATCGATTACTAAGGTATCCGTTGCGAGCACCCGGTTCATCGATCCTTTTCCGTAGGTCTAATGGCAGATCGATCGATAAATCGCGAATGATTAATGAGACCGCGTCTCGCCATTTCAGGTTTCCATTAATGACGTGAAAATTGGAAAAACGGTATCTGACGCGACGGGGAAAATGGAAAAGTACCGATATCAAATTAATCCAGAATTTTTTGCAGTAAGTACTTTTTAACGTTGAAAGAATTCATCCAATGGTGAATTAAATGAAAACGTCATAGGTGCACTCACAGACGCCCTTGAAATCCACGGTGCGATGTGAACGCCCCTCGATTTTATTTCGATGGTGTTTTTAAACCGCGTATCTCGGTTTGCGACGTTGCAGATTTCCTGTCATATTTTATTTTTTTAAATGAAGAACTACTTAACGTCAATTCTTATAAACTTCCGAGATTTTTGTTTTCTATACGACTTACATCCTAAAAAAATTTCAGGGAATGACGCTTATTTGTTCTCCTCAAAAAAAAAAAAAGGAGCGGAGATTTTTAAACACTGCAAACGAGATATGCCATTTGGAAGTTTTACCGTCAATTTTGAAAATCATGCGTGGAGTGCGTGTGGTAAAATTAAAGGTTTTAGAATTTTGCTGTAAAAACATTGAGAGACGTGGTTAAAATCAAGCTAACAATTGAGCACTACAACGATTTTCCTGGTTTTTTTCCACATCTCGCTCGAGTGCGCAAAAAAAAGAAAAAAAGAGGATTGATTCAAGCATCCTCGACGAAAATTTCAACTTGCGTAGCTAGTAGACCGCTCTGAAGCTAGCTTTTGGCACGCCAGAAAAGAAACACGCGAATTTACTGCGCTTTCCATCGCGTACGCTGAGATTTTTGAGCTTGTGGCCTTTTTGCTACGTTTTCCCTCACGATCATGGAGCAGAGAGTGCTTCTAATTTTCGCGGTAATTTGCTTTCAGGTAAGTTCTCATGCATTCCTCATTTGAACAGTGTGCCTAATTTCCCTCCTCGGCTGAATGAAGGAGTTTATTGTTCTGAAACGTCACTTATCTTCACTCGAAAAATAGTATGATTTCAATTAAAAATTTAAGGACCGCACATGGCGTACTTTGTCCTGGAGCACACTGATAAAAACATTTGTTTTTTGTGTTACTTTTGGTAAATATAGGGAGTGAAATACAAACCAACACAAATTTTGTGTTGATTTTGGTACAGTTTGCGGTGAATTTAGCGCAGAAAACAATGGAGAGACTGGGAAATTGCATTCCTCCGATTGCGAGGTTTGGTATTTACCACTCGCTTTTTATTAATTTTTTTCAAAAAAACTAGCTTTAATTTTCTCTTGAAACTGTCAATCAAAGGCGAGGGTTATGTTGTGTTTTACTTCCCGTATGACCAAACTTTTTGTTGAAATTTCTCCCTGTGTAGCAGTTATCTCAGTTCTTGAAACTGTGAATGGGTTTGTGTTATTTAAAAAATTATCCCTTAAACATATTTTCCCCCGTCAAAACTCATTTGGAAAAAGCTTCAAAAAAGAAAAAAAAATGTAAAATCGTATTCCTTGTATTCCTTTTTAAGGTCTTTTTCTTGGGAGGTCTTACTGTAGGACTCCTACATGAGTCACATTGTGCATAGGGGAGGTTTAAGGAAGCTAATTATGTAGCATCATTTTAAATTTAATATTAAATTTAATATTAAATTTAAAATTAAATTTAATATTAAATTTAAAATTAAATTTAAAATTAAATTTAAAATGAGGCTACAGCTTTTAGGAAGCTAATGCTATCTAATGCTCCTGCTTTTACTGCTAAGGAAGCTAATGATTTAACATCGTATTAAATTTAATATTAAATTTAGAATGAGGCTACTGCTTTTTAATTAATTTTTAAAAATAGCACAGCTTTAGAAATAGATTCTTGTTAGAGTTCGCAATGCTTTATTTGTACAAGAAATACAAAATGCAAAAAAAAAACAATTACACGATTTCAAAAAATGTTAAATTGGACACAGACCTGCGATATTAGTTCAAAAACCTGCGATTTTATTTTGTTGCGCATTGTGCTTTTTGTACTGACAAATCCTTGTCATTCTCAAGTATCTATTTTGAAAACTAAGCCAGTAAAATTCTACTGTATGAATGTAAAAATTATCCTGTTTCTGATGCTAAAGTGCTTTAAGCTCTTGTGTTCTTTACCCCAAAATATACCCTGATATTAGTTTAACTCGAGGCGACTAATATCTCAACTTGTTCAAAACTTCAATTTCGTTTCTTTCTCCTTGATTTGCTTCTTCAAAATTCTGCTGTTTTTGAAAATAGCAGAGAGCTTTGATTTCCTAGCTTCCCGCTTTATTTGTCTCGATCATTATTATTTATTATGTCACTATCATTAATCATGATTTTGATAAATGTATGCACGTAATATCATAACTACCAGTCTTAAAACAAAAATTTATTTTTTAAATGTAGAGTGCTTTCGTTTATGACATCAGCAGGGGTTTCAAATTAAAATCTTTTTTTTTTAGCCTCGAAGATCATTTCGAAATTCCTAAGAATCCCGTACAATCACTAGATTTTGATTTTTCTAAAATTTAACTTCGCATGAATGAATAAAATTGTCTACATTGATGGGAAAACTGAATAGAAAATTGGGATGGAGGTAATTTTTCCATCTTTCCAAGAATTTTTGAGGAGCGAGACCATGAAAAGGAAAAATGCTTTCCACGAAATTTCTCGCGTGCCAATATTTTATGCAGGAGCTATAATCTACGAGTCTTAGCTCCTCACTAGAAATACAAAATCTAAAACTATGGGTAAAGTCACGCGAGAGTATAAATCAGATGCTCTATCCCAAGATATAAACTTTCCTACTCTGTGATGCTGTTTCTTGCTATTTTGATACGTGGCTATCCACAAAAAAAGGCGTATTCTTGCCAGGATTTAAGTATCATCCTCTAGAGCAATACATATTTGTAATTTAAACTTCCATCTTCACCAATTCATGAACATGTCATGTATCAAGAAGTAAAACTTGAGACCTTGCGAATTCTTTTTAGTTTGCAGTTTTTCTATTTCAGTTCAGATTAACACATATATCGAAAAAGGTTCACAAAATTGTGACAATTTATCGACGATCAAAGTTCGAAACCACGTATTTCCGTTTGCGATGTTGCAGACTTCTTGTAACATTTTAATTCTTCCCCGCAAAACTATTCAACCTAATTTCTTCACATGATTTTTTCTCTTTGATAGCAAAATATTCAGTATGAATTTCAAGCTATAAAACTGGCTTTATCCACTTCGAAAAAATACAATGAGAGCGGAAAGAGCCTCCCAAAATAAGGGCTGACTTTCGCCCCTTTTTCGGTATTCGATTCGACCATCGAGCCTAGGTATAAGTGGAAGCCTATAATAACAGAAAACTCAGGAAAAAATTTTAAGATGAGTATAAGAACCGTTTTTGAGTTACAAAGGGGGGCAAAGGGGTCACACCGGCCGGAGCCTTATTTTTCGCTATTTTTTTGTTGTATTGATGTGTCTAAGGGGTGGTTATCGTTGTTTACACATGTTATACACACCGGCTCCTACGTATTTTCACACGTAAAATCGAATTAAAATATTGCAAAGTCGATATATCGATCGATTAAATCAATTTTTAAAGATTCCTTACGGAATTTCAACGTGGTTTTGAGATTAAAATTGTTCATTTTTAATTCATGTATAACTAAATAAGCCTTATATAACTATAATATAACCACACCTACGTATTTTTTCTTGCAAATTAGATTCTTAACGTTAAAGAGTCAACATACCAATCCCTTTTATGGAATTTTAGCAATTTTTTAGGAAAATCAATGATATATTGGTCTTTAAATAAGCTATTCTCCATCCGAGAAAAACCAGATTTTAAGTTTAACCACATTTCCGCTCGGGCCGGTTTCCAGTTGAGTCAAGTTTTCGATTCGGGCACATTACCGGTGAAGTAGAAATTCATATTTTAGATTTCCGGTCAAGTGAAAATTCGGGTGGATATCAAATCCCGTTAATTCTGGTTTTCGGTCGGTCAAATTTCCAGGTGCCAGGTACGCAGCCCCCGGGTTTGGCTCCTTAGGGTTCAGGGGGCTGATCATCGGATTTGGCTTCTTAGGGTTCAGGGGGCTAACTCCCGGGTTTGGCTCCTCACGGTTCAGGGGGCTGAGCCGCGGTAATGCCTCCTTAGGGTTCAGGGGGCTGAGCCCCGGGTTTGGCTCCTTCGGGTTCAAGGGGCTGACCCCCGGGTTTGGCTCCTCACGGTTCAGGGGGCTGAGCCCCGGTAATGCCTCCTTAGGGTTCAGGGGGCTGAGCCCCGGGTTTGGCTCCTTAGGGTTCAAGGGGCTGACACCCGGGTTTGGCTCATTAGGGTTCAAGGGGTTGACCCTCGGGTTTGGCTCCGTAGGGTTCTGGGGGCTGACCCCCGGGTTCGGCTCCGCAGGGTTCAGGGGGCTGACCCCTGGGTTTGGCTCCTTACGGCTCAGGGGGCTGACCCCCAGGTTGGGCTCCTTAGGGTTCAGGGGGCTGAGCCCCGGGTTCGGCTCCTCAGGGTTCAGGGGGCTGAGCCCCGGGTACGGCTCCGTAGGATTCAGGGGGCTGAGCCCCGGGTTTGGCTCCTTAGGGTTCAGGGGGCTGAGCCCCGGGTTTGGCTCCTTAGGGTTCAGGGGGCTGATCCCCGGGTTTGGCTCTTTACGGTTCAGGGGGCTGACCCCCGGGTGTGGCTTCTAGGGTTCAGGGGGCTGACCCCCAGGTTGGGCTTCTTAGGGTTCAGTGGGCTGAGCCCAGGGTATGGCTCCGTAGGGTTCAGGGGGCTGACCCCCGAATATGGCTTCGTAGGGTTCAGGGGGCTGACCCCCGGGTCTGGCTCCATAGGGTTCAGGGGGCTGACCCCCCGGGATTGGCTCTTTAGGGTTCAGGGGGCTGACCCCCGGGTATGGCTTCTAGGGTTCAGGGGGCTGACCCCCGGGTTGGGCTCCTCATGGTCCAGGGGGCTGACCCCCGGGTTGGGCTCCTTAGGATTCAGGGGGCAGAGCCCCGGGTTTGGCTCCTTAGGGTTCAGGGAGCTGAGCCCCGGGTATGGCTCCGTAGGGTTCGGGGGGCTGACCCCCGGGTATGGCTTCTAGGGTTCAGGGGGCTGACCCCCGGGTTGGACTCCTCAGGGTTCAGGGGACAGAGCCCCGGGTTTGGCTCTTTACGGTTCAGGGGGCTGACCCCCGGGTGTAGCTTCTAGGGTTCAGGGGGCTGACCCCCAGGTTGAGCTCCTCAGGGTTCAGGGGGCTGACCCCCGGGTTGGGCTCCTTAGGGTTCAGGGGGCAGACCCCGGGTTTGGCTCCTTAGGGTTCAGGGGGCTGAGCCCCGGGTATGGCTCCGTAGGGTTCAGGGGGCTGAGCCCCGGGAGTGGCTCCTTAGGGTTGAGGGGGCTGAACCCCGGGTTTGGCTCCTCAGGGTTCAGGGGGCTGAGCCCCGGGAGTGGCTCCTCAGGGTTCAGGGGGCTGACCCCCGTGTTTGGCTCCTTAGGGTTCAGGGGGCTCAGCCCCGGGTTGGGCTCCCTAGGGTTCAGGGGGCTGAACCCGGGTTTGGCTCCTCAGGGTTCAGGGGGCTGACCCCCGGGTTTGGCTCCTTAGGGTTTAAGGGGCTGACCCCCGGGTTTGGCTCCTTAGGGTTCAGGGGGCTGAGCCCCGGGTATGGCTCCGTAGGGTTCACGGGGCTGACCCCCGGGTTTGGCTCCTTAGGGTTCAGGGGGCTGACCCCCGGGTTTGGCTCCTTAGGGATCAGGGGGCTGAGCCCCGGGAGTGGCTCCTCAGGGTTCAGGGGGCTGAGCCCCGGGTTTGGCTCCTCAAGGTTCAGGGGGCTGACCCCCGGGTTTGGTTCCTTAGGGTTCAGGGGGCTCAGCCCCGGGTTGGGCTCCTTAGGGTTCAGGGGGCTGAGCCC